CACACATATGTATAGAATGGGGTGGCATGGAAATACATGAGCGCACACATGTATAGAATGGGGTGGCATGGAAATACATGTGCACACACGTGTAGACTGGGGTGGCATGGAAATACACATGCGCACACATATGTATAGAATGGGGTGGCATGGAAAGGAAAGATGTGTGAAAATACTCCAAAGACTCCGTCTGGTTTGGCCCACAGGCTGTGCCAAGATGGCAGAAATTCTCTGTGCGCCAACCAGGCGTTCAGTCTCATCCAGTGAGAGAGGGAGCTGGAGTATCACAGGGCTTTCCTGAATACCATGTCCTAGACATTTTTAAACACTTTTTGATTTTGGAAAATAGCAAATATTTTTAAAAGTCGTGAGGATAGTGGAATGAATCCCCACAAATTCCCCATCCCTCGGTTTCACTTACTGTCAATGCACGGCCACTCTTGTTTCATCAGAGTCCCTGGGGATGCAAATGGTTAACTGCTTGGCGGTTAACTGACAGGTTGGAGGTTCAAGTCCACCCAGAGGCTCCTGAGAACAAAGGCCTGGTGATCTGATTCTGAAAAATTAGTCATTGAAAGCCCTCTGAAGCATAGCTCCACTCCGATAGCCGTGGGCTTGCTGTGAGTTGGAATCGGCGTGCCACCTGGTCTTTGTTCTTCCTCCCTCCTGCCTCTCACTGAGTTCCTCTGAGGGAAACCCAGACATTTTCATTTCATCGGCATTTCTTCCACAATGCGTCCCTAACAGACAAGAACTGCCAAACAATCTCCCTCCCACAGGGCCCACTGATGAGCTCATTTAGGCACCGCCCCCCCCCCCAGCAGTGTGAAGGCTGGGAAAAGGACACAATGGTAAGATAGGCACAATGCTTATGATTATTAATTTTAAAATATTTATGAAACACCCGCTGTACACCAGACTTGGTGAACAGATTCTGGTCCAGTCCTCAGAGCCCGTTACAGTCTAACCTAGGATTTGCTTCCCAACCTCTGTGCCACCAATGCTTTAAAGTGGTAGTTCTGTGTTGTGACGGATGTGGCAGACTTCTTTATCTCAACCAGACATGGCCAGATGCCCCCCAAAGGACTAATCTAGTGGAATAATGCAGGTAGTATACAGTGAATGCCCTAAGTCCTGAGCCAACCCAGAGTGGGCTCTGCAGCCACTTCCAGGAGCAAAGTATGGCCATGTGCTTGTCCAAAGATAGACAGCCTTGGAAAGCTGATGAGGCAGTCCGACTCTATCCTCTAGGGGAATTGACTCTCTGGCAACTGGCCTGGGGGTTTGTTTTGTTTTGTTTTTAAGGCTAGTAAAAACGATAAAAGAAATTCAAACAAACTCACTCCCTTCGAGCTGATGCCAACTCAAAGCAAGAGTATAGGACAGGCTAAAACCACCCTGTGGGTTTCTGAGACGAACTCCTCATGGGAGTAGAAAGCCTCATCTTTCTCCTGCCGAGCAGCTGGTGGTTTCAAACTGTTGACCTTACATTCAGCAGCCCACCCTGTAAGCACTGCACCACCAGGGCTGCTGAGCTGAACTTGGATCAGGCCTGCAGGAAGGCTCCCTGAGACTCCAGCTTCTTTGTCGACCCCAGCAGCCCTTTTTGCCAAATGCCAATGGAACTGGGTGCCAGTTAGACACCTTTTCTCCTGTGGGCGTGCTCTGTGCTGCATGTTTAGGAGAACTGAACAGAAAGCTGGAGGCCAAAAGCTGTGGTCAGCTACCCATGCATAGCCCCCGGAATACCTCGTTTATGAAAACCCTGCCCACAGTCCACGGAGGAAAGTGTTGGTTCTAGAGGTTGACCAGAATTTGTTCAAGAGTATATGAAAATATTTGATTCAGAATGCTGATTATAGCTTGTTCTCTCTGTAAAGAAATCCTTATTGTTAAAATCCTCGCTACGGCAATAACTAAGATTCCTTTCTTAAGACCTTTCCCTCAAACCCAAAGTAAATATTGTTGCGTCCACTCTTTTCCTTGCCGCGGGCCAACTCAATTGCCAGGTTCCAGTCAGGAGCTATTGGGGATTTGAGAACACACACAAGAAAGTTGGAGGATAGAAATCCTCTAAACCTCAGCCCTGTGGCCTGTGCTTGTGTTTGTTTATGCGCAGAAATCCTGAGGGAACTCTAACCCCGGGGAGAACAGGCAATCCTGGTGCTGTTGAACCCTGAGAGAGGCCCCTGTGTGGGGTGGGGGGTAGGAGATTAGATCATAACACAGAGCCATTAGGAATTTCACAGCAATGCCGTCCATCACACAGCCGTTGCTGTAAAACCTAAATTCTCACACATGTTCTGTTTGCTTCGGGGAGGGGTGAGTCATTAGTTTTAAACCACGTGAGGCTTCTGAGGGACAAAGCTTAACCAAGGGGGGTGGGGGGCCGATTGGCTGGACCGCTTCCCAGAAGAGTGTCTATTTCTCCCGTGATGCACACCAGGGAGACCTTTAAATGCCTTTGGACTTAGTTCAGTAATTCAAACGGCTGCTTTTTGAAAGCCCGAGATGCCCCTAGCTGTTAGGATCCTTGGGCGGTTAAAATGAGATGGTGTCGGGGCAGGCCTTTTGTCAACCATAAGACACTGTATAAATATGAGGCATCACTGCCCAGATGTTCTCGCTGCTAATGAAGCTGATGGGACCGAGCTCCCAGGAGACACGGTCACTTGTATTGAGTATGTTCTCTGAGTCCTGAGAGTTTTGTAATGGCTCAGTATTTAAGTGTAATGTTTGCACCTATCTCTGGGCCACTGGGCTGCACAACTGCAGGGGCACCATTCTGTTGCAGTGGCTCTGGTTCATCCGCTAGCCTTCCTTCACCTGGAGCTGCAAGAAAGTCCAGCCACCCAGTCGTCACACGTGCTCATCATGTCTCCCTTGACCCTTCTGGCTGCTTTGTTTCCTAAGCAGCAACTCAAATGGCTACCTATCTTGGTGACGTTTTCAACAAGTTCTTTGCACTTCAATTTGGGTGCAAACAAGGAGTCCTGGTGGCGGAGTGGGTTAGTCATTAGGTGGTGAACCGTAAGTCCGCAATTCAAATCCACTAGTTGCTCCTCAGGAGATAGATGGGGCGGTCTGCTCTGTAACGATCGTCAGTCTCAGAAACCCTAGCGAGCAGTTTTCCCCTGTCCTGTGGGGTGTCTGTGAGTTGGAATTGACTAGATGGCAGTGGGTTTGGTTTAGGGGATAATGCCAGATACAAGATGAAAATGGATGCTGATCACTTAGGGCCAGAATAGTGTCAGCCATACGGTCTTTGACCCAGTTACCCAGCACTGCCATGGGAACATGGAAGCAGCAGCCGATAGTATAGAAATGATCAAGCCATGTGCATGTGTTCAAATAAAAACCTTATTTATAGATGCTAAAATGTGAATTTCATGTACCATTTTATTCAACAGCGCCCCCCCCCCCCAACATTTGAAAATACAAACTCCATGTTTAGCTCACAGGCCATACAAAAGTAGGTGGTGGCTTGTGGTTTTCCCCACTCCTAGAGCGTACCCCCCACACTGCTGATGCCTGTGCACGACTGGGCCCCAAACCAGACAGCACTACTGCTAAGTCCATTCCAGCTCCCGGCAGCCCACGTCACTGCTTCCTGGCGTCTTCCCCGCTGCCATCTTTGTGGGTACAGGTCACCAGCCCTTTCTTCTGCTCGCACCACCCAGGGACCCTGGGTCGTGCATGGATAGCTCTTGATCACATGCTTGCCCTGCCAAGTACAGAGTCACCTAACCTGTGACACACAGCAAAAGCCCCAAACTCACTGCCATCGAGCCAGTCGGACTCACCGCGGCCCCTGTGAGCGGCTGAGATTGCCACTCTTCCCAGGAGTAGAAAACTCCTCTTTCTCTGTGGAGCGGCTGGTGGGTTTCAACTGCTACCCTCGTGGTTAGTAGCCCAACTCGTAACTACTGCGCCGCCAGGGCCTGAAATTCTGGCTCACCCTTGTTTCTCTCTGTGACTAGTTACATGTCACCCGATCAGCTCTTCTTTTGTAAAACAGGAATGAAAGTTCATGCCCTTCCTCCCTCGCCGGCCTGAGGTCCTGGCTGCACAGACCGCTCTAGGAGCTCAAAAGCATGACAGGATTATCGACGCTTCATACCATTTCCATATGGGCTCCTCCTCAGTTTTCTGTAGGTCCTTGGGTCACCTCAGTACTAACTTAAAGTCTGACGGTTCGAATCCACCCCATGGCGTCACGAAAGGCAAGCCTCGCCATCTGCTTCTGTTGGGTTGCTGTGCGCCATTGAGTCCGTTTTGACTCGGCGCAACCCGGGTCACCAGGTCGAACCCCACATAGGGTTTACCAGGCTGTAATCTTTATAGGAGCAGGTCACTACATCGTTTTGCTCAAGAGTGGGTTTGAACCGCTGACTCTGGTTTTCAGCTGAGAGTTTAACCATCGCACCACCGGGGCTCCGTGGACGCAATTGAAAATCTCCGGGCATGGTTTTCTGGGGTGCTTTAAATAACTGGTGGGAGGAGTCCAGCTGTGTGGCGGATTCCATCCGAAAAGGAGACCTGGGACAGAGGGCTTTGTGTACTTGAAGAGTTTGGCCTTTAAAAAAAACAAACAAGAGTTGTGGGAGGTTTAGCACTCAGGACTGTGCAGAGAATTGACCCAGGCATCTGTGGGCCCTGCCTGGCCGGCTGGACAGTTAAAGCGTCTATGCCTTGAGTCTGAAGAGAGGCCAGCCAGCCGGAGACGCCAGAGTTTCTGTTGCTTCCTGATGCAAGAAGTCCCTTCCTCCTTGAGGACACACCTCAAGTGTTTGCTCCTGGGATTTGAGCTGATTGGAGGAGGCCTGCCCACATTGTGGAGGGTAATCAGCTTTCCTTAAAATCAGCTGCTTGCAAATGCTAATCCCATCAAAATACGTTCAATGTAACATCTCAGCTGGTGTTTGGGCAAACAACTGGGCGTCACAGCCCAGCCAAGCTGACACACAAAATTAATCATTGTGGAAGAATCTAATCAGGAGTAGAACATGGTTGGCTCTGGCCGCTGGAAAAATCACTCTGAGTTGTAAAAAGATAGAGTGACCAGGGAGGAGACCTCCTCTAGAAGCAGTGTAGATGGCGGGGGAAGAATTGAACTATATCGGGCCATAGCGTCAGGTTCAAGAATAAACACCTTTCTTAAAAAGTGGGTACACGAAAGTAAAGCCTTTTTGACAGTGGCGTGTGATTCTGAATCCACCAGAGAAGCACAGCATTGAAAGGGGTTCTCTACCAAATGCTTCTGAAAATCTTCAGAAAGGTGCATGCCCATACACAGGCGCACACATCCGAACTGTTGACCTTCAAGTGCTCTTCAGGTGAGCACGTGTGGTCCCCAGAGAGGGGAGTTGACAGAGCTGTCACATAGCGTGTACTGACAAAAAGGCTCAGTGTTCGCCTCTGCAGAGATATCGAGACCTTTTACTTAGAACTTGATTTCTCTGTGGAATGCATTGTGATTGCTGTTTTTTTTTGTGTGTTTTGTTTCCCCAGAATCAGACCTAAGCATTAAGGAACCGAAACAGAATTCTCCACGTAAGTCTTTATGCAGCTATTTTGAAATGAAGCCTCTCGGGTTTTCATAAGAATGGCTTGGTTAGTGAATGTTTGCCAAACTTTGAGTTTTGATAAGGAGACCTCTGCTCCCATTTTCTCTTCAGCCCTGCCCCCCCCACCCCAGTACTTTTTCTTTTTCTGACCTCTCTTCATTCTCTCTTCTCTGCCTTTGCTGTTTTTTCGTATTAATGTATGGACCCATCGGTGTGTATGGTCTCAGTGGCAAGGTATAGCACATCCCTTTAGAGAAGTTAATTATCTGCCTGCGTTAAATCCATTGTGATAGCCATCGTGTGAAGAGAGCATTAGCTTACAGCCAGGGGAGGGATTTCCTTCAAGTGCCATGGGCAATATGTACCTGCTCCGAGAAGCAGTGCTAGGGGAAGGAGCTGTCACACCTTTAAGACAATCTCTAGCCCAAGAGGCATGGGGCTTTGTAGAAGAGAGACACCCGCTACTATAGAGACAGAAGTTGGACATTCTCCAGGCTTGTTTCCTTGTGGAAGAAGCATCGGACCCAGAAAGATTTAAAGATACAAATGGCTTACCCTGGTTCTAAGACTAGAGCCTGCCTGGGTTTCCTGGCCATATCCCCAGAGCACTTCCAGATGCCGGTCCCTGGTGAGCAGGTGCACTGAACAACTTGTCTGCAGGGTCCCTTTATGCAAAGCACTTCTCAGACCGTTCATTGAGTGAGTGCTTGCCCCAGGGATAGAGACACACGAACACATTCTCTCATCCGTACCTAGTCGGATTGTCATAAATGACACCTCCATTTTTGGAATTTCAGAATATTTCCACTAAAGGCTCTAAAAGTCATGTTCCATTTCTGCATCTGTAAGCACAGAAAGACCAGGCATCTTTTAAGATTTGTCTCACGGACTAGACTAAATTAAATTCGCTTCGTGGCAAGGCTTATTTTAACCTCAGAGAGTAGTTCCTGGTTCTTACTCCTTCTAGGGGATCCCCACGCCTCCCTTTGACAGACTCCCACTTTAGGTGGCCTCTTCAGCAGCGGGAGTAGCAGTGCCTCCATGTGTTTTGCCATGGGACAAGCCTGCCACTGCCCACGTGGCTAGGAGCTGGCAGCATGGGGCCCTTGGGTCTCTGCAGACCCTGCCACCATGACCCACTTTTCCTGAGCCTCGTAGACTGCTAGGGTTGCTCAGGGGTAAGGGTCATCCAAAACTGGATCTTTTGTACTCAAGTGTGTTGAGAGGCAAAGAAATTTAATTTACGTGGAGGCCAACTGAAGTGGCTCTGCCTGTTGACAGCAGTAGCGAGAGGACTGAAATGAGGAGGAGAGCCCATACCTTCAATGTGCGCATTCAGAATCCAGAGACCCCAGCGGTTGTATTTGTACCTAGACCCCCTCTTCCCTGGAAGCGGGTCTTAACTTTTTACAAGTGACTTGAAGAAGGTAGTTTTCTTAAATGAAAGGAAACGTTCTATTTCTGTGGCCTGGAATCAATTTCAAATATAAAAATCTTTGCCAAATGGAGGAACAATTGGTTCTATTTATATGTTTTGCTGACCATAAAACTGACATCACCCTCCACTGGGAAGCATTTCCGCTCCCCACACGGAAAGATCACCGCTGGAAAAGCGTTAAATTAAAGGCTGTTTTCAGTGACAGTGCGCATTGGTTAACACCGAGCAGGCGATGAGTGGAGTTGTAACATCCACTGGAGTCGTCCTTCAAAGCCCCTTTCTTTCTGGTTCCTTTTGTGCGTTCAAGTGGCCTCAGAAATATGCGTGCGAGGTGCCGGCTTTTCTGTGCAGTGTCCTGTGTCCCCGTGGAGGTCTTCTGTCCGTATCAGTACCGTGTCAGAGACTGGTCAGGGGGGTTGCCTCACTCTCCAGTGCATCTTCGTCTCTGAATTTGCCAGGCACTCACTGCTCAAAGAGTGGGTCCTTCGATCAAGACAGTGAGACGACACACAGAGAGTTTCCTCCGGAGCCCACAGATCTGACGTTTCACTGACAAATGACAAACTGTAGATAACCCTTCCGGAAAGAAGAGAGTTTACAAGTTTCTGATACAATGTATTTTGTTGGGCTCTTCATTACTGCTCTCAGATTTTATGAGTCCTTGCTCAATTAATGGTGCTCGTGAAATAGAAAGTTGTAATAAATACAAACCACAAACTGACAGCGGTGTGTTGGTTCCCTTTCTCTCTAGCCATTTTCCACGGTCTGGACACCCTGACGGTGATGGGCATCGCGTTTGCGGCCTTTGTGATTGGAGCGCTCCTGACGGGGGCCTTGTGGTACATCTATTCTCGCACAGGTCAGTGGGGCTGTCGACTGTCGGGCGGGCGGGGGCACATCCCGCGGTCTGCCACACCACAGGTCCTCGGAGTTTTGTTGGATCCATGAACAGATGAAGGAAGGAGTGAAAGAGACGTGGGTTCCCGCCATTTTCCCATGGACAAAGGCTTGAGCCGCTCAAGCAGCGGCAGGAATGAAGAGTGAGATGCCTCCCTACTTTGTTCACTGCAGTTGAGGCGTTGGTGAAGTTTTGCTTCCAAGAAAGTGAGAGTTGAGTTTTCAAAAGTTCAGGTCTACAAACTGGAAATATGAATTATCCCCACCCAGCTAAAGACCCCAGGAAGTGACAAAAACAAAGCCAAGGTTCGATTACCGTACCTCATCTGCCACGGCGCTGAGCACAGGACGCCAGAGGCCCCGATTGGTGGCTTAAACCAGAACCAGGATTGCTTCACCTTTGTTGGTGTTGGTGTGCATATGAACCCTTTGTTTCTATAAAATATTATATTGGGTTTTATGTGACAGTTTATGCAGCAAATTATATTGTCATTTGACGATTGAGACACACTTGGTTCAGTGCCATTGGGAGCAGCCCCGCCACGTGGCAACACTCCTGCCCAGCCAGTTTCCCTGCAGCCACTTCCCAGGCCTTCTTGCCGTCACATCTTTGCTTTTGTGTGAATGTTGACCGTTGGGCGCCTTATCGTCAGCGTTTAAAGGAGCATGTTTCTCGTGGATGTCATTGTTTATTTTACAGCACAGTCTAGTATTTGGCTGAAGGTGACCTCCGAGAGCAGCTTCGGGCCAGGTTAAAAGGGCATCTGAGAACGATAGCCCAGGGGTCCCTCTAGTTTCTGTTAGTCCTCTAAGGCTGGGCTCTGATTTTGAATTTGAGTTTGGTTCGACTTGGTCGCACACTCCAATTGGTGCCCTCTGTCGTGTCCCTGGTCAGAAGGGTTGGAGAAGCCAGCAAGCAACGTGTAGCTCTGCCGGCCTCCAACTAGAATATGCCGTACGCTCCTTTGAGGACATAAATTCTCACATCTTCTATCAAGTAATTAAAACATTTTCAGTCTATAATTCAGAATTTGATAACAACGGAAAGTGATGAAGCACAGTATCTTGCTTTCGAGTTGTATCCCCCATCCCCAGAGAGGTTCCCGTCTCCCCGCCAGCCACAAGGCAGGAGCTCCCCAGGCCTGAGCAGGGAGCCCATCTGCCTTCAGGACTGAGGGAAAGCGCCGCGATGAGAGGGGCCGGATGAGCTGCCCTTCGATTGCTGCTTTCCCAGTGTCCTTGCGTTTCGGGGGAGAAAAGACGTACCCTGGAGGCACGCTTTGCCAGCCAGTTGGTCCAGTTTCCTTGGGGATATTTGCTGTTTGCACCGTTGGACTAGGTAGACTGTGCTACATCAGTTGGAGGCCATCAGCGGCCCTGCCTTTCTGCTCCCATGCCCTTAGTTCCCCCCTGAACCAGGGAAAGCCCTCACCCCAGCCCCACCTTGGCACCTTGGGCTGTCCAACTATCAAGCAGAAGAGCACCAACCCTTTTGGAAGAGCCCCGCTTGCTCACCATTTACTGGACCAAAGCTCGAACTGTTGAGAATAAAGCCTTAAGACAGCGATCCTCCATGATTCACACATACTTAATATAAAGTTAAAATTTGTACATTTCAGGCTCTTTTTCTGCAGACATTTCCCTTGAAGTGCAGCCCCCCTGCCCCCAGCTGAGTTGTTATAGATGATGGCGGCAGGAGCGAGCAGAAGCCCTGCTGGGCCGGCATGTGAAATTCACCAAGGCATGTGAAATTCACCAAGGCCAAAGCCAACCTCTTGACAAGAACTCAGGAGCCTTTGGGTTATGCATTAGGCTGCTAACCAAGAGGTTAGTAGTTTGAAGCCACCAACCACTCCAGGAAGACGAAGGAGGCTCTCTGCTCTCGTAGAGTTGCAGTCTCGAGCCCCACAGGGGCAGTCTGGTTCTGTCGGGCCCCTGCTGCGTTTCAGGGCCTCCGTGGCACTGAGCTCGGAGCTGGAATATTAAGTGCTGGTCCAGTCAGAGTCCTCTGAGTGAAGTACGTGGCATGGGAGACAAAACCAGACTCTTAAGGATCAAGAGCCCACTTGTCTTTGAATCCGTGTAGGAGTGTTCCTCCTGGCGAGCAGCTTTCAAGGTGGCCAGAAGGAACAGTTTTGTATCAGGGCAGCATCTGAAGTTGCAGAATCTTACTGAAGGCCTACCACCTTGTTCAAACCTCAGGGTGTCTTGTCACTTTTCCGCCCCCCTTGCCTGGCTGTGAGGTTCTCAGTCTGTGGGCGGCCAATACTGTCTGTATATGGGGGGATGGGTTTGAAAAAACTCCAAGCAAACTGTGCCCTGAGGTTGGGTGAGGGTGGGGTGGGGGTCAGGGACGACCCATGGCTGTGGTGCATGCACACGCCTGCTAAGGCACAGACTGGCCTTGGTCATGAGGGTGCACCCTCCACTCCCCTCAAAAATCTTCTCTCTTGCCAGGGAGGGTCAGGCAGCCAGACACAGGCAGAATAAAGTGCTGTCTACTAGAACCTGCCACCCCCCACCCCCACCCCCATTGGGTCCTCCTGGTAATCCCACCCTCTGTTCCACAACCACCAGATACAAAGCCACGCTGGGCCGCAAGTGTTTATTGCTGCTCCTTCAGTCTGGAGGGGGGTGGCCTTACTGCTTCCTTCCCCCTCAGACCACAGGCTCCGCAGGTCTTTTAAGTTTCGTTAATTTAGAAGTCGGTTCCTGAGTAGTGAAAGCAAAACAATAGCCCAAACCTTCCCTGCGCTGCTTTCTAGCAAAAGAAGCTGTGCTGTCTGGGAAGGCTTACTGATGTACAAACACTGGCCTTGGGGCTCCACGCCTGTTAGCATCCCATACACTACAGCCTCCCGGGGAGTTCTTACCCAAAGGACTGCTTCCAGTTCATTTTGCGGACTGCTTCCAGTTCATTTTGCAGACTGCTCCTGAGGAGGATGCGAAGATCAGGTTCTGTGTGAATGGGTCTCACTCTTCTAAAGACCTGACGCAGCAGACTTACTTTCCCCGTACAAACAGAAAGAAGGGACAGGTGGTAGTTCCTTGTCCAGAACCCCTGACCCCTGGTGAGGGAACATAGAGTTTGGATGAAAAGGGAATTTCCCTGTGCAGCCAGTGGAGAGAGGTGGGTGGGTGTTCAAACACTGACTCGGTCTCCATCAGTGTCCACAATAGACTGAGCCGTGGCATTCAGGCCGTGTGCGGTCCATCTGGGGGGGTTCAGACAGCATGTGCCTCTGTGTCAAAAGCAAGCCTTCCCTGGGACGCCGTGCACTTGGTCCTACTTCCCATTCCATCGGCAGCACAGAGCTGGAAGCTAGGGCACACAGGGTTGATGGGTGATCC